AGTTGATGTCATCATTTACCCAGAATGCTTTGCGTGTAAATAAAATGGCTCCGTCCGTGTTAAAATATATTTTAAAAAAATTACCGAACTAAACAGCTACAGTATTTTACAGTCTTTATTTTACAGTTAAAATAAATGTTTATCAAATAAATTTTAATGTCACAACTAATCGTGGATCCCTTTAAAGTTGTGATAGGGAGTTTTGAAAACACATGAACTTAGTCTGAAAATTTGAATACCAGTAAGTAAAATCTTACAATCAGTGCTTTATTTCTGCAAACTGTAGGACCACTGGGCGGAGCTTGACTGTTTCACAGATCATCTGTCTCATATTCTAAAAATGATTTATATTTGTTTTTACTCCAAATATGAAATTAATGACTGTTTTTAAAAGCGCCAAGCATCATTAAAAAAGCTTTATGTTAGAAAACTTTAATTTTATATTTCGATGTAAAAAGGACGATCTAACTGATTTTACAACTATTTCAAAAATGACTGCAACAGAACGGTTTTACTCCACTAAAGAAATGAGAGTACTAAACTAGTTTTGAGAAAACACTCATCTCAATCACTTTCTGGAGAGAAAAKAACATCATCTTTAGCCTCGTTTAGATCCAGGTTTTTATGGTGAACATGCATTATACTTTACCAAAATATCCTTGCTTCTGAAAAAAGTTTTAAAGTTAGAAAATGACTAAAACGCTCAAAAATACAGAACATATCAACAAATCTCAGGTGTTGCTTACTTTTCCATTGCAGCTGCTACATCCTGAAGACCCTGAGGGCTGGTGTTGTTTTTATCCCAGATAACAGTTCTGCATGAAACAAACACAAAAAATACGATTCTCACCATTTTAGTTGCACCATAATGACAAATACAAAGAAAAAACATTGTTTCACAAAATGACTCATGGGTTGGTTTTTAGAGCTATAGGTTTTTAGCCAGCTGTGATTTGTCTTGTACCACTTGTACGATTTTATTTCTAATCCATTGTTGTTTTTAAGGTGCCCGTTAAAAGTTTTAGGGTTTYGTAACTATTTAAGTGTTTATTAACGTATCAATCAAAAACTTCCACCTCTAACTTTTGAGGAGAAATGTTCAAGAGAACCTGAATCAGGCACAGGAAACAGGGGCAGGACTCAGTCTTATTTACACACAAGCTGATCACAGAGCTGTGGCCCATCCCATCCCAGGAACAAAAATGACCCAGCTTACGTGACATAGAAATGCTTTTATAGTAAACCTACTCACATCCCAGATATGATGTCATGTCCCTAACACAAAGAAATAAGTTACAGTAACAAACACTAAACTAAATAGAGACTTGTTGATTCTCTGTTTAAAGTAAATGACTCCAATCAATCACAAAGTACAAAATATATCTAAATTTCAGTTAATCAACCACAACATTTCCAACAGAGGCGATTGCTCTAAGACTGCAAGGGAAGCTCAGCTTCCCCTAAAATGTAAAAAAATAAGTGATCAAATATACACTGTTGCGTTCATGTCATTGATTAAATATGTGCTATAACACGCTCAACTTTTGTTCAAAATCAGCTTCTTATCACTGGTGACGACGCAGCTTTCTTCTCCCTCATTCCCGCAGCTTCACGGTGCTTTAAACAGTCGGACGCTGAGCGTCCACAGACTTCAATAGTGAGGCAAAAAAAATGCAGTGAAACTAGACGAGTCATTGGATACATGCTGGACTTTGTCCCGCCCCCGGACGCTCAGCGTCTCTGGGGGTCTATGGAGCAGTGGGCGGGTTCGGACGCCCAGATTCTGCATGATGATTGGATGATCTGTCTGAGCCTTAATCCCTTTTTGATTGACAGCGAAATGAGCGAATCAGAGATCTTTTGGTGTAAACATTCAGTGGGAGCAGTTTTTAGTTTCGGTTCTGTTCTGAGCTGAACCGGAGACTTTCCTAATCCTCTTAGCGGCATTTTCTTTGTTAAAAACGACTAACAACAAATCGAGTTTTTATTTCTGGTGGGTTTTATTGTATCTGCTTGTGTTAAAGGCGGATGCACTTCACTCTAGCCTCGCGCCAGTCCCAGCTAGCGAGTTAGCTAGGTAGCAAGCTGCACATAATGGCAGAGAGTTTGAACGTTGTGGACCGGATTTCGGTGAAGCCATTTGATACAGTCTTGTTTACAAAGAAAAACTTAGAGTTAAACAGCAGG